ATCATTTTGGCATTTTCCATTAACTCTCTTAATTATGCTTCTGGTTTCTATGTTCCTGGAAACAGAGGTCAAAGAAGCTATAATTATATGTGAAATAAAAAGAAGGCACTCAGGAAAAAATGTCTTTGAGTAAATTGTGTGAGCTTTATTGCATGATCTCTGTGACATCTATTTGTTACATAATGGCCTCATTTCTTCTGGATCATTTTGCTATATTCATAATAGTAGAATTTGACTGACAGAGGATCCCCAGATAAAGATAATGCTGTTAAATACATAATCTTTAATTAGCATATCATTTTATCAATAATTTGAAAGCTTCCCTCTTCCATACTCCCCGAATCTCTGAATATATTTTAGAAAATGAAGATCCTAAAACATATTTCAACATTTTGAATAATAAAATAATTAAATTAATTTCCAACTGTCCTTAATATAAATCAAAGTATGGGTTAGCTAATACCCAAGAAGCAAGTGTCTCTAAATGAAAAATAGCATCAGAGAAGAAAAGGTAAATATTCTTATTAAGGATTTAAGAATTTGTAAAGTTTTTATAATACACATTTTGCAATAATAGCAAGAATCATGTTAAATAGACCATTTCCTATTTATAACTATGTTGTTAACTTAATCAAATTACTCTCCTTATTTTCCGCCAAGATATAAATGAAAATAATGGCGGGGGCCAGGCACTGTCGTTCACACCTGTAATCCCAGCACTTTGGGAGGCTGAGGTGGGTGGTACACCTGAGGTCAGGAGTTCAAGACCAGCCTGACCAACATGGTGAAACCCCATCTCTACTAAAAATACAAAATTAGCCAGGTATGGTGGCACATGCCTGTAATCCCAGCTACTTGAGAGGCCAGGGCAGGAGATTTGCTTGAACCCAGGAGGTGGAGGTTGCAGTGAGCCAAGATTGTGCCATTGCACTCCAGCCTGGGCAACAAGTACAAAACTCCGTCAATTAAAAAAAGAAAAAAAAAAAGAAAATAATGGCCAGGCACAGGGGCTCACACCGGTAGTCCTACTACTTTGGGAGGCTGAGACAGAAGGCTCACTGAAGCCCAGGAATTTGAGGTTATAGTGAACTATAATCACTTGAGCCCAGGAGTTTAAGGATATAGCAAATTATAATCGTACCACAGCACTCTAGCCAGGAAGGAAGGGAGGGACGGAGGGAGGAAGGGAGGAAAAAAAGAAAGGAAGGAAGGATTTTTATTTACCACTTTAGAATTCAGTCTTTCCCTTTTTCACAATCTACCTAACAACTCAATTTATCTAGCTATAACTTTGCTTCTTTTCTTTTATTTTTTTGAAACAGGGTCTCACTCTGTCTTCCAAGCTGGAGTGCAGTGGCACAAATACGGCTCACTGCAGCCTTGCCTGGGCTCCAGTTATCCTCCCACTTTAGCCTCCTGAGTAGCTGAGTAGCATGTGCATGCCACCACACCCAGCTCATTTTTTTTCTTTTTTTTTATAATAGAGATTCCCATCTTGCCATGTTGGCCAGGCTCCTCTTAAACTCCTGGGTTCAAAGCGGTCATCCTGCCTTGACCTCCCTAAATGCTGGGATTACAAGCGTGAGCCACTATGCCTGGGGTGTAACTTTGTTTCTTATTAATACCTTCTTTTCCTCTCTGTCAATCTAAAATAGTCTTTCAAAACATGAGGGAAAGAAGGTGGGAAAGAGGGGAAAGGTGCTTGATGAGCTTGTTTTATCAAAAGTCAGGCTCTTTATAAGATTTAAGAAAACTAACAAACATGGTTACATTTAATGTAACATATGAAAATGGTATTAAAAGTAAAATTTTAAATTTTTCCATCCCCTCAACAACTGCAAAAAATTGAAGTTAGTATTACCCATGCAGTGAATAGTAAGTTGTAGTTCTCATTTTACAGAGTTTATCTGTTCAAAATAGATTGAATAGTATTGTTATAGACAAAAATCACAAATAGTGATTGTACTTTTAAAAAATGTATAGTGATATTTTGGTCTCTTTTTAAAAAGCATCTGTGTTGCCATGGATTGGGATAAAGACGGAGACATCCTAGCAGTGATTGCTGAGAAATCTAGCTGCATTTATCTTTGGGATGCCAACACAAATAAGACTAGCCAGTTAGACAATGGCATGAGGTAAGATAACTTTTTTATTTTTTTAAGCTTCACTTAGAGACATGAATATTTGTAGGTTTGATGCTAACAATTCTTTGCTACTTTCATTTTAAAGATACCTCACTGAGTTATTTTCTTATAAAAGAAAAAGATTATTTTATTATTATATATGTAATCCTTCTATTGATTTTACCCAGTTAGAATGAAATTGTTATAATTGTGAAATATAAATAGCTTCTTAAACAGTTGCTTTCAGTGGAACAGACTAAGAAGCGCAGAGATGAGACAAAATATATACGGGAAAATCCAGAGATGGGCTTGACTGTAGGCATGGCTGGATCTAGGAGTTATAATGGTGCAATGAAGACTTTTTCTTCATTGCTCAGCTCTTTTTTTCTGTATGTTGACTCCATTCTAAATCAGATTCTCACCCACAACTGCTGGTAGCTATCAGTGTATATCATTCTTCGCAGCAAGTCATGCCAGAGAAAAGAACACGTGCCTTTACATCACCAGAGCCCATTCAGATCCTCAGAAGGCCTCTGAGTGCAGTAGGCAGGGCCATGGATTGGTACTCCCACCAAGTGAAAGGAAAGGTGAAGGGCAGGGGAGTTCCCAAATGGAAAAAAATCTTGGGCAGACAGAATAAATGACAGATACCTGCTCAAGTAGAAACAAGTTTCCAATATGGAAAAGAAAAACTTGTCAGTATTTCCAACTAAAACTTTGCTGTTTTGACCTTGGACAAGTTGCTTAACCCCTCTCCAAACCTCTGTTTCTTCATCTATTTGACATGGGTATAACATCTGCTTCGTGGCTTCATGTACCCCTCAGGTGGGGAGAAAGAGATCATATACATGCTGTGAGACTAGACTGTAAGTTTTCAGTTTATTTACTAAAAAATAACTGAACCCAGAGAAAGCAAGGTGGTCATGTAGAACAGGACCAAATAGAACCAAGTGAGTGCAGTGCCTTTGACCCTCCAAAGTGGCTGTTGAGGCAAGTAGCTGCAGAAGATACTGTCTACCAATGTAAAGTCTTCCTAAATCTAAGAACCTTCATTTCTTGCTCTGTCCTCTTACACTTTGGGTTTACATCACTTTTCAGAAAGATTTTATACACTCTGTGCTTCTGTTCAAGGGAATGTTTAATAAACTTCAAGTACTGGTTCTTCAGCCAAATTCAGCAACAGTAGGGCCATGTTGTCACTCAGAGAAAAGTACATAATTAATCCCTGGGTGTTTCTGACTGGCATATCTCTGCCTCCAGCTCTCTGTCTCCCCACAGTGTCTGTTTTTCCACATCATCTCAGGATTGTAGTGATGTTTAAATATATGTCATGGCCAGGCATGAAATTAAGACCCAAGTAAATGGTAGATGTTATTGTAATTGTCATTAAAATTAAGGTTGCTTTACTGTTGATGTTTACATTTAATAATGTCTAAAGGACTTTTGTATATACAAAAGCATACCCACTATTGTTCGTTCTTTATTCAAAGGCTAATCTGTTATACTAGCTAGTTAATAAACGAAATTTTGAATATCAATTTTTCTTAAGTACTTTTATTTAAGAAGGTTCTGTTGTACCCACTTTGCTTCCTCTAGATTCAGTTATTCCTTAATAAATAAATGCTTTTAAGCAATTTAGGTTCCATTTATAGAATTTGTCTGAAGTTAGTCTTTTGAGTGCTTCAGATACCTTAAATGGTACACAAAACTTATCCAAATATAAATTATCACAAAACTTACTGTGGTGGCATTTAACTAAAACTATTACATTTAATTCAATTAGTTGAATTCATTTATTTTTCCTATATATGCTTTTATACTCTTAGGATTATAGCAGTATTTACTCTACTCCTGGCTAGACTTAACAGAAGTAGTCATTTAATTATGTAACTGGGATATAGTCATTTCTTTCCAAACATACATATAGGGAACTTGTGAGAAATGCCAGTTTTCAGATCCCAGCCCAGACATACTGACTGAGGAACCTTGAAAGTGGCCCTCTGCTACCTGTGTTTTAATAAGCCCCCACGTGATTCAAACACCTTAAATAGTATAACACCTTATTTATTGTTTGGTTTACTAACTAGTGTAACAGATTGGCCTTTGAATAAAGAACAAACAATAATGGGTATGGTTTTATATATACAAAAGTCCTTTAGACATTAAATATAAACATCAACAGTAAAGCAACCTTAATTTTATTTTAATGACAATTACAATAACATCTACCATTTACTTGGGTCCCTCTATGTAACATCCGCTTCACCAACCAATTCATTCTTGGATGGATCACAGAACATGGTTGCTTTTCCCAAGGCAATTTGGACCTGAGTACTAGGCATCCTTCTCAATGTCTTTTTAAATTGACCTTCAGTTGTCATATTAATAAAATTCTTTTAAGCCCCTGCATTATACATAGATTATGATTTTTTGTAACCTGTATATTTCCCTAGGAGAATATATTCTTTAAATTTTGCTTGGCCAGAGATACATGTGATTGTTATACATTGTCTTGATCCAGTAGCATTACTGGAAATTTACATATGCTTTAGTATCATATTGGAATTTGCAGGGCTTTCTGCAGGCCCTATCTCCTAAGAGAAGAGGGATGGAGTTTGTTCAGTTAGCTCTTCTTTTGAGGACATTTGATTACTTGATCTTCTTAGAACACAATATTTAACACTTTGTTTCTAGTTTGTTGGTGTGTGACTGTCAGTGCTTATAAACTATTGAACGGACTAATGTTTATCCTATGTATGATCACTGTTGCTGATCAGATCTTGTTCTTGTTATGCAGTTCTTTTCTCTGATACTATTTTTAGCTCATGCAAAATTACTTTTATTCATATTTTCTTTGAAGGAGTCTCCAAGACAGGATTAAATGTGTAAGAGATTTATTACAGGAAATGCCTGTGAGGGAACAGAGAGGTTAGAAGAGATTAGAAGAGCTGTCAGACCGCAGTGCATGTCTGACCCTTATAAATCAGAGAAGGAAAGAAGTAAGTTTGGGTAGAAGCATCTTGAATTGTAGCACAGGTTTTTGTTTTTGTTTTGTTTTGTTTTGTTTTGTTTGTGATGGATTCTCCCTCTATTGCCCAGGCTGGAATGCAGTGGCACGATCTCAGCTCACTGTAACCTCTGCCTCCCAGGTCAAAGCAATTTTCCTGCCTCAGCCTTCTAAGTAGCTGGGACTACAGGTGCCCACCACCACGCCCAGCTAATTTTTGTATTTTTAGTAGAGCTGGGGTTTCACCATGTTGGCCAGGCTGGTTTCCAACTCCTGACCTCAGATCAGATCCTCCCACCTCAACCTCCCAAAGTGCTAGGATTACATGCATGAGCTATGCCCAGCCCATTAAATTGTAGCACAGTTCTAATTAAGAAAGTTCAGCTAGGCCTGTTGGGAGTCTTTGGGCAAAAGTTACCTGTCAAAGGAGTCCTGCCCAGGAATGGGCCTCAGCAGTTATCTCTGCCTCACTCAGTCATTATCTGGGAGCCGCGCATGAGAAAGCACAGCCTGGCTCATTGAGGTGATAGATTCCAAAGCTAGCAGTTGGGGCTCTTGGTCAGTTACACTTTCTGCAGACAGAGGGAAATCTGAGAGGCACATTATTGCAGCTATGTACCTACTTAAAACAAGGAAAAAAGATTAAAATGCATATTTATCTTTTATAAAATAGAAACTTAATAGAAGAACCTAGCAGCCTGATGTTACTACTCCCTTACTTATTAAAATTAATTTTTTAACTAAATATTATATGCTATTATACAACTAATTTTTCCACATACTTTATTTTTTTCTCTTCCAAGTAACATCATGATTTTACAACCTTTCACAAACTCAACTTGTACCAATTAAGTACGTAAATTTTAATCCTTAAATTCTAATTTAGCCGGAGGAAACCTCTTTAAACTTACTCTTTTGTCCTTTTATCACTGTCCTCAACATTATTGGAAGCAGTATTGCTGTCTGAAAACCATACCATGGTCTGTCCGTGGTGCTCAAAGTTTAGGTGCGTCAGAATCTCCTGGAGGGCTCATTAAAACACAGGTAGCTGGGAGCCACTTTCAGAGTTCCTCAGTCAGTATGTTTGGGCTGGGATCTGAGAACTGGCATTTCTCACAAGTTCCCAGATAATGCTGCTGGTTCTGATTTCAAATTTTGAGAACCACTGTTCTCAAAAGAAATCACAGTGAGATTTCTTTTCTCAATATATGGAAAGAGGTACTCTCCAAGAGGTTCTGCTTCCCCTTGGTAGGGAATTATATAACACTTCAACCTTTTGAATCCTAGAATGCATAGAAGAACTGTAAGAACCGGTGGTGGGCAAAAGTGGATGTTTTTTTCTCTCTTTCTTTTTTTTTTTTTTTTTGAGCTGGAGTTTCGCTCTTGTTGCCCAGGCTGGAGTGCAATGGCACGATCTCTGCTCACCACAACCTCTGCCTCCCAGGTTCAAGCGATTCTCCTACCTCAGCCTCCCAAGTACCTGGGACTACAGGCATGCATCACCACGCCTGGCTAATTTGTATTTTTAGTAGAGACAGGGTTTCTCCATGTTGTTCAGGCTGGTCTTGAACTCCCTACCTCAGGTGATCCGCCCACCTCGGCCTCCCAAAGTGCTGGGATTACAGGCGTGAACCACTGCACCCAGCTGGCAAAAAAAGTGTTTTCTACCTGCTTTTGAGCTACTCTTAATAGTGACGGAGCTAGAATAGATACATCCTTTTTAAGGTCATGAATTACTAATGATTTTTGCCATTTAGTGTATTATGTTATTGGATGCCACTATTTTTAAAGCATGAAGTTTCACCATCCATTAATATTTTTAATCACATTTAGAGCTAAAACTATCACTAGTAAACAAATTAATAAATATCTCATAGGTGATCTCATGAATTTTGAGGTTCTATCATAACTGAATTGAAGTCGACATTCATTATACGTTTGTATTTTGAGTCTAACTGACCCTCAGATCATCCTATAGCATCTCCAAAATGTCTGTAGCATTTAGTCTTTGTCCTAAAGCATTAAGTTTGTATTTTATACTTTGGCTTCTAAGTAGACATTAAAATTATCCATGGAATACTTTTTTAAAGGACTGTTTAGAGGTTATGATCATGAATTGTTTAGTAATTTATATCTTAATGTTACAGGGATCAAATGTCTTTCCTTCTTTGGTCAAAAGTTGGAAGTTTCCTGGCTGTTGGAACTGTTAAAGGAAATTTGCTTATTTATAATCGTCAGACATCTCGAAAGATTCCTGTCCTTGGTAGGTGATAGCTGGAAACACTGCTAAATATTTGAGATGCTTTACCTAAATGTAAATTCTGCGGCCTCGGATTTCCCTGATCTTGCAAGGGAAATTTTGTAGTACGAACCCCTTCCCCATGTCCCCCCAAAGTCTTAAATTTAGCTAAACATGAAGATCCCTCTTCACTGCTTACTAAGAACTTCCCAGGGTACATAGAATAGATTGAGTTAAAGTCGGCCTGTGTCTTTGACATCAGGACGTTAATAGCATGGCTTCCATTTGTCCTTTCTCACCCAGATTGTACCTCTGGACAGGGAATAGCTCATATGCATATGTACACATATTGATAATATGTGCTATTTTTGTTATTAATTTTAGTTAATTTAGTTACATTACAATATGTGGTAATTTTAGTCCAAATAGTAGACATATTAAAGCATTTACTGCTTAGATAGACTATATCAAGATTCCTAATTCTGACCCCTCACCCTCTCCAAATCCTAGTTAAATCTAGGTATGGACTATGAGTTCTGTTTGCCTCAGAGTATGCAGCCAGAGGATGTTTTTATGGGTTCCTTGTGTGACCTTGTTTCAGCTCTTTCATTCCCGCAACTTCCGGTCACTTGGCATCTGCCTTCTGAATACCCAAAAAGAAACATCTATTCTTGTCAATTATTGTGACATCATGATGATGAGTGGTAGAACCTAGTGGGCTTAATTGCATCCAGGTGGCCAGGAAAAGTATAACTTACTGCTAATAAAGGAATTATGCTCTGGAGATAGTGGTACCCACAGATACTTGAGAAAGTACTCTTCCATTGAAGACAGTCATTTCAAATTATTTTTACATATATGAATCTCTTTAATGTTTAGCATTAATTTTTTGTGCTATCACTAAACATTAAATGTCATTGAACTATTTGAAAAGTTAAACTAAAATTTAAGTTACAGAAGTCAACCTTAAATTAATTTGTTTATTAACTGTTATTATTGATGATAAGACTAACTTGATTTCTGAGCACTGGAAGCAAAAGGGCCTTGAGGTATATGAAGAGGAGGAGGAGGAAGAGATTTTCTTCTCCCTTTCTTGGGTATAGAAAGAAGTTTCTCTTTGGCATCCTCCCACTTGTCTTTGTATAGTCTTTTCCCCTTTCTAATGCCTATTTCTTTAGACACCAGTTCCAGTATAACACCTAAGTCCCTTAATCTATGATCAGCAAAATCTCTTCTATGGCCCCAGTATCTTCGCTGAATATTTCGTTCACTTTTGTGTTCTGGTCTCCTGATTTGAAATACTGTCTGTATCCTGAAAACTCCCAAATTTATATCTCTTCCACAGTGTAGACTCCTATGTCCAACTGCTTACAATGAGGTATCTAGTAAACACTCCAAATTTAGTATCTCCAAAACCCTCTTGAGCTTTTCTTTCCACCGTTGCTGACATTTTATTCTTCCAAATCTTTAGACCAAGGTTTAGGGCCATCCTTGACTCTTTTCTTTCTCATACTCTCCATATCTAATTTATCAGAAAATCTTATAGATTCAACCTTAAAATATCTCCAGAATCCAGCCTGTCTTACCACCTCTACTGCTACCACCATGGTGTGATCTCAAACATTTTCTACCTTAATTTCTACAGTCTCCTCTTTACTGGCTTCTCCACTTCAACTCTTGCCCCACTAAAGAATGAGCCCTGTGCTCAGAACTCTTCACTGGTTTCCATCTCACCCAGAATCAAAGCCACAGGCCTTAAAACGGCCAGAATAAATCTTCTATAATCTGGCCTTTGCAACTTCTTTGACTTCACCTCATATTCTTCCCTCTTCATTTGTCTGCTGCAACCATACTGTCCTTTCGAGCCTCTAACACACCAGACAAACTCCTGGCTCAGTGTCTACTCACTTAACCATTTTATTTAATACCTGCTTTCTGCATAAGTACTGTATTAGATTCTATGAAGAATAAAATGAATGTGGCCTCTGCTTTCAGTAACAGCTAAAATAGCTGACACTTAGATAGCGTTTCATATGTGCCTAGCACTTTGGTCAGTGCTTTAATTCAGTTGAACCTCAACCCTACAAGAAGTCCTACTATTTTTCCCAATTTATGGATGAAGTGAGTAAGAAATAGAAAGCTTGGCTGGGCATGGTGGCTCATGCCAATAATTCCAGCATTTTGGAAGGCCAAGGAAGGTGGATCACTTGAGATCAGGAGTTTGAGACCAGCCTGTCCAACATGGTGAAACCCCGTCTCTACAAAAAATACAAAATTAACCAGGCATGATATTGGGCTCCTATAATCCCAGCTATTTGGGGGGCCGAGGCAGGAGAATTGCTTGAACCCAGGAGGCAGAAGCTGCAGTGAGTCGAGATTACACCAGTGCACACCAGCCTGGGCAACAGTGAGACTCCATCTCAAAAAAAAAAAAAAAAAAAAAAGGAAAGGTTAAGTAACTTACCTAAGGTTTTTTCAGTAGGTCCTGGAGCTAAGATTCAAAGCTAGGCAGTCTGGCTCCGGAATCTATACACTTAACTATTCTCATTAGTAGAATTACCCTTGGAACTCAAGGATTTATCTATCCCAAGACCCTCAAAAATGCTCATAGTGTTAAGCATGTGATTTCCCCCAAAAAATATTGTTTTTTGTTGTTGTTGTTTGTTTGGTTTTGGTTTTTGAGACAGAGTTTCATTCTCGTTGCCTAGGCTGGCGTACAGTGGCATGATCTCAGCTCACCGCAACTTCTGCCTCCCAGGTTCAAGCGATTGTCCTACCTCAGCTTCCCGAGTAGCTGGAATTATAGGCACATACCACCATGCCCGGCTAACTTTTTGTATTTTTAGTAGAGATGGAGTTTCTCCGTGTTGGTCAGGCTAGTCTCAAACTCCCGACTTAAGGTGATCCGCCCACCTTGGCCTCCCAAATTGTTGGGATTACAGGTGTGAGCCACTGCGCCCAGCCAAAAATGTAGTTTTTGCACTGGCTAGAAGGCCTAATGAAAAAGCTTCCCGATAGTTAATGGTTATCTGACATTACTCATTAGCTTAGTTACACAGTTCTTAACACAAGTCTTGCTGGGGTGCATTCATACAAGTACATCAGTATTATCATAAATTATTTTATATCTTTTAGTTGTTACTGTTTTTGTTTTTCTGAGAGATAAGGTCTTGCTCTGTCACCCAGGCTAGAGTGCAGTGGTATGATTACAGCTCACTGCAGCCTCAGTCTACTAGGCTCAAGTGATCCTCCCACCTCAGCTTCCTGAGTAGCTGGAAGTACAGGCGTGCACCACCAGACCTGGCTAATTTTTTTTTTTTAATTTTTGTAGAGACAGAGTCTCACTATGTTGCCTAGGCTGGTCTTGAACTCCTGGGCTTATGCAGTCCTCCCACCTCAGCCTTCCACAGTGCTGGGATTATAGGCATGAGCCACTGTACCCCACTGCCTCTTTTAGTTATATATGAACAGTTAAACTGCAAATGTTAAATCTGCTTAGGTCAAAGGCCTATCACACCATCGAGCTGAATATAAGTAAAATTAACTTCACTGTTTTGGGATTTACTTCTTTTAAGACATTATCTTTGGAGCCAGGCATGGTGGCTCACACCTATAATCCCAGCACCCTGGGAGGCCAAGATGGACAGATTGCTTGATCTCAGGAGTTGGAGACCAACTTGGGCAACAAAGTGAAACCACGTCTCTATAAAAAATACAAAAACACCAGGCGTGGTGGCTCACATCTGTAATCCCAGCATTTTGGGAGGCGAGGGGGTGGCAGATCACCCGAGGTCAGGAGTTCAAGACTAGCCTGGCCAACATGATGAAACCCTATCTTTACTAAAAATACAAAAATTAGCTAGGTGTGGTGGCATTCCCCTGTAATCCCGGCTACTTGGGAGGCTGAGGCAGGAGTATCACTTGAACCTGGAGGTGAAGGTTGCAATGAGCCAAGATCGCACCACTGCACTCCAGCCTGGGCAACAGAGTGAGA